ACTAGGCTGAAGAAACAAAGCTGGCTCCAGAAAGCTCTGAAAAAAAGAAAGTGAATTAACGGCTGGACCTGCTGTCAGATTCACGGCTTCTCTATATCTTATTTTAGTGCTATGATCATATGGCTATGTTGATAGGTGGAACTTCTCTTTTTCGCATAGCAACAAAGGAGAAAGTAGCCCTTTATTATTTCTGAAATGCTGATAAGTAAACAATGATTTCATTTTCATCAGAGTCTGCTTTTGACATTTTCGGCAGCCATTTCTGTTACTGGTGTGTAATATAGAAAATATAATGCTTCAAGAGTGAATGAATAATGTTAGTAAATAATTGTGTAGAATCTTCATAACTTGCTTGTGGAAATGGGAAGGAACTATTTTTTATTTCTGAATAATTCACAACTCAAGCTGAATTGGTAACAAAAAAGCAAATTGCATATACACATGCAAATAGTTTTTTTTAAAAAAAGCTATACAAGCCAAACAGTGTACCATTAATTAAAGATTTTTTTTAATGCTGATGCTCAGTTTGTCTTGGATTAGATATAGGGGGGATGCAGACAGGTGGCCATGGGCTGCCCTGAGAAGCGGCGGATTGGGGCCAAGGCTGCCCCATGCCTCGGCCCCAATCCTCCCTTTCACCGCCTGGGAAAGTAGTGCTAAAATAGTGCTCCTTCCACAAGCCACAAAAGGGTTGGCCGAAGAGCTGCCATATAGCTCTTTTGCACCTCTTCCAGCTCAGCATGTCCAGACGTTGAGCTGGAATGGTGTCATTGGAGTGCCTGCCGTGTGCAACGGTGGGTGCTCCGATGACGTCCTTGGGAAGGGGTTGGGGCGCCCGGCATGTGGCTGCCCCTCCCCTTCCCTGCCTCCCAAGATGGCACTTTGCACTATCTGCAGAGGCCCATAGTCTCCCAATACTACTAGTTCATTGCTGCAGTGGGCAATGCCTGGAACCTTCTCAATTGTCAACTAAAAATGTGGATGCAGCATGCTAGGCACCCATAAAAATCTAACAACTCTCTTCTTTTTGTTGACTTTTTGCATTTAAAAAAACCCCATATATTATCTTTCCCCCACCTTTCACGTGGTATATAATAAGATTTAAGATTTAAATTTAAATTTATTTAAGATTGGTATCGGTACTGGTAAGGATTGGTAAAGCCATTTAAAAACCTTTCAGCTATAAAGAGTATGGCATCATAGGTTATAACTGCAAATATCAATAATTATGTTAAAACCCTTGAATATTTCAGAAATAAAATGTGTATGGATTTTTAAAGGGGAAAAAGTAGTTCAGGAGTCAGCAGCAGTAAGAAAATATTACTTTGGAGCAAAGGGGATAATTACTGTACAGAAGGCACTAAGATCTCTCCCAGAGGAATATTGTTGGAAAGAATTGCCCTTCAGGTGTTAATGGAGGAGAACAAAGTCTAGAAAAGTTGTGGTCCACTTGCAAGGACAGAAGCTGAACACAAACAGGAGAAATATAGATGTCTCTCTTCTTGTTCTAAATAGGATGGAATGATTTAAATCAAAATGATGTATATTGTTAATTTTATTGTCAAAGAAAAAAAAACTGGTTTAAGTTACAGGTTTAAATAGTTCTCCTAGCTACTTCTTCCCCTTTAAAAATGATGCAATTCTAAGCACTAAAATATGTTAATTTGTAAACCAGTATATCAAAATATATTAATTTACACTGGCCCCTCACCATTCACATCCCTTACTCCTTCACAGACAGCAAGCCATGAGGGACAAAATGACATGCATGCCATGCCACATGCAAGAGCACCCCCCACTGGAGTCAATGGGGCTCTAATATTGGCAATTTTCCCAGTTGGGAGGGGTGACTTTACAGCATAAGCTTTGCTTTCCTAGAAGTTTTAAACTGCTATTATGATACAATTTGTGCGATTTTAAAGATAATTTTATTAATCCAAGAAACAGTAGTACATATTGTGCTCATGATCTGTTTTAAGCTGCAGATGCTGCATTAGTACATTACGTCAATAATCAATTGGCCCTCCATATCCATGGGTTTTATATCCACAGACTCAATCAACTATGGTTTGAAAATATTTACACCCCCCCCCAAAAAAAAACCAACCCAAAAGCAAACCTTGATTTTGCCATTTTATATAAGGGTCACCATTTTACAGTTCGAAAGCATGCAAATCCAAGTACCAGTAGATAAATAGGTACCACTTCAGTTGGAAGGTAAGCAGCAATCATGTGCTGGCCACATGATCACAGAGTAGTCTCTGACAATGCTGGCTCTTCAGCTTATTAATGGAGATGAGCACCGCCCCCTATGGTCGACGCAACTTGACAACCTTGTCAATGGGGAATACCTTTACCTTTATACTATGATACGGTATATAAAGGGACTTCAGTCTCCATGGATTTTGGTATTCATGAGGGATCCTGACAGATACTGAGGGTCTATGGCAGAAACGTAAAAGCCGTTAAGCCTAAATCTGGGTTTAGAGTAGATTAGATTAGTTATATTTTTAGAGTAGATGGACACTTGGTAAGCCAACACTTATTCATGTTTCATTGATTCAGTTGGTCTCCTGTAGTTGGAATTAACAATTATATCTCAGCATGATTTATTAAATTAAATCTTAAATGTTATGTAACATTTTAAATTTGCCATAGCATTAGTGGTTAATGACTGACATTAAAAGATACATACACACTTGTTTAAGAACCACTTTCTCATATATTGGCCTTTAGATTCAATATTTTGCTGTGATTCTGATTCTGCTTTTACATGCACAATTATAGCACTATGATTCCACATTAACTGTCATGGCAACATCCTGTGGAATCCTGGAATTTTTAGAATTTTCTATCAGAGAGCTCTAGTGTTGATGACCAAAGTAAAAACCCTAGAAATCCATAGAATGCAGCCATGGCTGTTAAGGTGGAATCATGGTGCAATAAATGTGAAATGTGAAAGGGCCTAAGACAGTAGAACAGTCACAGAAGTGACTTACTGAGCTACATTGCTATATAAAGTGGTGAATCTTGAATTTTGGCCACTTGGCTATTCACACCATTCTGCTGGCTTTAAAAACAAATTGTTCAAGTTTCATATTTTTACATTTTTGTAATCATGACAGTACATAATTCTGTACTGTTCGTAAAACTTTTTAGCTAGATGCCATCTTCCACACTCCTGTTATCATTTTTATTCCCAGACTGAAATATGAGTTTTCCTGCTTTTTTCATGTTTGATTTTAGGTAGCTCAGTGTGTGTGTTTCTATGACAGGACCATTAATTCCTTTCATTGAGACTGTAGGTATAGGTTTGACTAGCATATTTGTGATGAGACTTCATTTTAACTTGTTTTAGGAGGCAAGAAAAACTTAGTATTCCCTCCCTCCCTCCCTCCCTCCCTCCCTTAAAAAAAGATTTAAATAAAGTTATTGAATTTAAATACCTTTTAAAAAAGTGTGTTTTTATCATCAATTTTTCTCCATCATGAGTCCAAAGGCATGCAAGGATGGTTTCAGACAAAAGAACTTGTCAAGTACACCTTCTCTTTCCTGAGATCTGGATGAGAATTAGAAATTGTTCACATATGGCTTTGCTCAGCATGTCATCCCCCCCC